GTATATGACTTGCTGTCACTATTTGGTTGGCAGCAGCTTTATATTTATTATTTCAAAAATAAGTCCCAAATTATTTTCCGCCTTTATAATGAAAAGTTGATACTCGTTTATTCATAAATTCAAGTTGATTAAAATGATTGTGTTAAGGGAATATAAGGGTTAGACAATGAAACTGAAACAGCTGGTTTTTGACCATAACATCCCTTTCAGACAGCTTCCTCTTGCATCCACAGTTAATCCTGTTGGATGTGGTTGGTCCTTCTTGGTGGTATGCTGACATTACCCTGGATACCGTGGCTCTTGATACATCACAAAGACTTGCTGTCTTGATTACAGATGCGCCAGCAAGATGTGAACCAACAATTTGTCCTTTTGTGAACTCTGGTATGTGACCCATAATGTTGTGTGCATTGCAATATTTTGATAAAAACTGTGCTCTTACCCTGCTAATTGAACCTTCACACTCTTACTGGTGCAATGTGCAATTAATGAAGACTGGCCATCAGGCTGGTCCAATTTAGCCATGAAACCTCCCACAATAAAATGACAGGTGTTTTTAGTTTCATTGTCCAAACCCTGTAGTTATTTTTAGAAAAAATGTAAACAAAAAAGAAACAACCCAAACCTGGTCCTGTCCAGCTTGTGGTAACCATGACCACACAAGAAGATGGAGACTTCTCCCCTGCTGCAGCTTCAGGAGTAGGGAGGCACGCTGCGTTAGTGTTAGTTTCAAAGGTCAGGCAGTGACCCTTGGCACTGGGCAGCTTCAGCAGGGCTAAATCATGGCCTCCGCTCTGACCCTTGAACTTGTGGTGAACCACCACCTGCTGCGGGGTCAGACTCTGCTCCGACGCTCCCACCCGGACCACATACCGCGACGGGTCATCGCTGCCAAACCTGCAGGGTAGACACAATGAGGTGGTTGAAGCAAAGATGGACTCTCGCACATGGGAAGTGACTTACAGGTGGGAGCAGGATTTACCTGCTGACACAGGACGCTGACGTCAGCACCCAGCAGGGACTGATCAGGGTCCCACTGCACAGGGGACCACCCACCACTTCCTGAGTCTGAAGCCACACCGACACTTGCCAAGGCCACGACGTCCTGAAAGAAAATACACAGATACCTTTTAAAGTATTAAACATAAAAAAGTAAAAATACCTCAACAGAAAATGACTTTGGTAAATGTGAATTTCACTGGTAAGAAAATATCTAAGTAAAAATCAGAAAACTGCCTGCAATAATCAGGAAAGTAAAAGTACTTTTACACAGACTCTAAGAAATGAAGTGATGAAACTGGATCCACCAAACTGAGTTGAATAGACTGAGCAATTATCTGCAAAAATGCAGTGAAATTTACAGCTAAAAAATACCAAAATTATAGCAAGAGGCTAAAATTATATAAATACTAGTTAAAAGCAGATAAATTCAAAGTAAAATTAGCAAAAAGCTCTAAGTAACAGAAGGCAAACTAAAAACATAGAATAGCTAGAAGCTAAAATTACCTGGATGCAAAAACACTAAAGTAGCAATATACAAATGTTAAAAGTAAACAAAGATAGTTAAAACTTAACGTAACAAAGCACAAAGGGGCAAACAAACAAACAAAGAGATTAGCAAAAACCCAAGTAGAAAGACTATAGCCAGAAGCTACAAATAACTAAAATAACTAAAATCTACCTAACAGCATGTAAATGATAAAAATGTTAAAAGTGGCTAAATGGTAGCTAAAAGCCATAAGTAACTAAGCTAAAAGTGGCAATAGGGTAGCGAAAAGCTAAACATAAATGGAAAAATAAAAGTCAACTGACAGTAAACACTAACTAAATTTTTAAATTGGTAAAAATTTATTAAAAGTATCAAAAAGTTAGCTTAAAAATATCATATAGGTAGCTAAAATTATCAAGAAGACAAAACTGTCAGTTTGCTAAATCACATAATTATTAAATCAGTTCATTGGCTTTTTATCTGACGACCACTAGAGGGAGCCAATGCACCACATCATGAGGACCATTCCTATACCTGCTGCACCTTCTGTACCTAAGCATGTTGTCCTCCTGGTTCCTCCTCTTCCCGTTCTCCTCCGCCAGCTTCCTCAGCCCACAGCTCTTACTCTGAGGCTCGCTCTTTGACGTGGACCCCCGCGGTGTGACGTCACACCTCACTCCTGCGTCCTCTCTGCGTCTGCAGCCCTGGATGTTCTGTCCAAGAGAGGGGCACTCTCCCAGGAACTCCTCCTTCCCCGTGCACCTCACCTGGTCCAGGTGGATGGGTCCTTTCCCCTGACCGAACCCTCCAGCAGCCACCGCTCCACCGCTGAGGAGGAGAGGCATGAGAGAACGTGTGAAACGAGCTTTTGCGTTTAAACTCTCTCCTCTCACACAAACACAGACCTGTGTCCGAGCTGTCTGCACACCACGGCGGCGTTCAGGTCGTTCCAGCCCGAGTCGCAAATACTTCCCCAGTCTCCATGGAGATACACCTCGACTCGACCTTCCTTCCTGCTGCCGCCACCCACGAGACGCACCAGGGGACCTGGCAGGAAGAAAACTCTCAKTCATATTCATGTTTGAGCCTCTACAGAGACGAGAGAACTGCATGTTGACTGGCTCAGCTAAATGTTATTTCTGTTATTTCTTTATTCAACAGCTAATCTGCTTCTAATGACCTGAGCAAATCCCTGAGGGGCAGAGAGAGTAAACACAGTCTTGTTTTAAGTCTTTTTAAAAGTCTAAACAAATTATACACCCAACCATGCCATTTAGTCTGGTTTAGTCTTTACATTTCTTATACCACATGTGTCAAACTCAAGGCCCGCAGGCCAAATGTGGCCCATCACGTCTTTGTACAGTTTTCAGCCTGTGAAGCTTTAACAATGTATTACTAGCTGTGTTTCCATTGACCATGAAAATGGGCAAATTAAAATTTCAAAAATAAATTTGCTCAATGGAAACACGTCAGTTTTGAAAAAACTTCCTTTTTTCGACAAAATGTTTTTGCGCTAGGATAAGGTGGTTTTTCGGCCGTATCAAAATCGGTGTGTTTCGCAAAGTTGCAATGAAAACACTTTTTTCGCATCACAGGAGTCACATGATGAAGAACCGGCTGTTTCTACTGGCAAAAAAGACAAAGAAGAAGACAACTGGAAGTAGAAGTAATAGCAAAATTACCAAAGTTGTAAAAGAAAGTAGTAAACTCACCAACTACAATTTCCTAAATACGCCGCATACGTAGCCGCTCCCAATTATGAGGGGCTCATCGCTGGAAAGCCTCAATGAGATGCCAATTTCTGCTCTGATGATGAGCACTAGTGCCATGGTGGCTATTATGCATGTGTTTACATCCATTGCCGCCATGTTTGTAATGACTTATCGCAAAAACAAACGTATTCACGCATAACTTTTAATAGCATTTCTTACTTAATGGAAACACAGCAGTTGCAAAACTGTATTTTTTCAACATTAACAGAATATCGACAAAGTTTTGCACACATTTGCAATAAAAATGCAGTTATTGTCTTAAAATAAGACTGTTTTAAAGCAGCATTGACCACAAACTACATCTCCCATAATGCATGTTGATTATTTTACCTGCAAAATGACGGCCTCCCACCTCTAGGTTGTTGTGCACAGAGTTCAAAAGTAGCTGACGAAATTTGCTATTGATTCTATATTTCGCTGCATTTTCTCCACCTACTTTTGCTGCRGCACCATTGTACTGGGAAGTGGGAATTTCCCACATATGAGTTGTAAATTTAAACTRGAACACCCCTCCAGTGGGAATTCCCTTTCAAGRTGGCAGCTTTTCACCACAACTCAACAGTGAGTAAAACTTTCTTACTTCACTTTTAATATCTCTGTATTTTTTATTTCACATTTAGTCAGTCGTATGTGTATGAGTGTTCATAAGAGGACATGTTAAAATGCTGTTTCTATGCAGGAAATACCACGTAGAGCTCAGCTATTATTAGCAGTGATCAACCGACGAAGAATGTGCCCTTTCATTTTTAACTTTGACTAAACTCAAGTTAATTACAACTGGCTTTTTGAGGACCGCCATGATGCTCATGTGGCCCTGGATGAAAATGAGTTTGACACTCCTGGCTTACAGAGTTTAGACATCAAAATGTAGGTTTCTGTCTCAGATTATAACAAAGTTATGTTGGATTTGGGCAGTTTGGCCTTCAGTGTTTCTTCACAAGAGTTTTGATTTACGCCGCACACGAGGGGGGCTGAAATCTCACCTGTGGAAGGTGCGATGACCGGCACCTCGTTGGTCTCCTGGCTGGGTCTTCCTCTGCAGCGGACGCCAACGTCCTCGCTGTGGGAGCAGTCGGTGCGTCCAAAGATCCCATGGCGACAGTTGAGCAGGGATGTCTCGGACCCCTCGCAGTGGACGTCGTCCAGGAGGATCAGACCGACGCCCTCGCCGAACGCCCCGTCTGCTACGACCTCGGCGTGACCCCTGATGGTAAAAAACAGTTTTCTGTTCACCAGCAATGGCTTTATTGCGATCATTTCACTTTAMAGTCAAAATTTTCTCATGAAAAGGGATCCAACGACCTCTTTAGTGTTGGTACCTGTAGCCGAGCTGCCTGCAGACCACCTCTGCGTGCTGCTGGGTCCAGTGGTCGTCGCAAACYGTCCCCCAGTCTCCGTTGTGAAACACTTCCACTCGACCCTCCCAGGGGCTGTCTCCGCCCACCAGGCGCACCACGCCATCTGAAACAGAARCAGCACCTTGTCTGCAGCTACCAGTTTAAACAGACCTTCATTAACAGCTAAAACCTTGATTAAATTTACATTTTCAGATCAATTATTGATTGATACTTTGGTTACATAAACTGATTTGTTTTGTCTCATAAATCTGCTTCCTGCTCATCTCAGACAGGCTGCTGCTACAGGCGGGAATGATTTATTTATGATCAGGAGATAAAAATAACAGCTCTTCGTGTGTGTGTGTGTGTGTGTGTGTGTGCGTGTGCTGTAACCTGTATAAGGACTACAGGAGACCCCAGCGTCCTCCATGTGGTCACAGTTATGCTGCTCCCAGTCTCCGTGGGGACACTGATCCAGGAACAGCTCGTTTCCGGTGCACTTCACAGCATCCATCAGAATCGGACCTGAACCCTGACCAAAGTGGGCCCAGGACCAGGCCTTTGCGACTCCCCTGCAACACAAACACACATGGTTTGTATAAAGATTATAATTGTGAATAAACTGAGCTAAACTCTTTGGCTAAACTGGTATTTTTTTTAATAAAATGAGAACTCCAGCAACGCTCAGCACAACTGTTTGAATTTATAGACATAAAGGTTTCTCTAATTGTCAACTTTACTAAGTTGGACACCCACCAAATATAAAAGCTAAACTAAAATCCACAATTTCAACACTCACTGATGTAAATTTCATCTAAACAAAGTATAAACTAGAGATGTGCTGAAATTTTCTTGTTTGTTCCAAATTTATAGTAATTTTACAATCACGATTGTTCGTAATTTAGCATTTTTGTTTATGTTTATTAAGCAACATAACATTAACCCATGAATTGTTTTAAACGAGCTTAACTCAAGGGACGAAAAAGAAAAATGTCAGTAAGATGAGGTCAAAAGTCAGCTTTTCACTCATTTCTTAAAAAGAAAAAGAGCAATCTGACATTTTGGTCTGACGTGTTCTTGAGAATCATATTTTTCTAGATTGTCAAACTTTGTAAGGTTTTCCATTTTTTTCATAAATGCAGGAAATTCAAACAGATTGTGTTGTTTTTGWGTACCAGAAACTGAATCAGTGCCAAACAGTCCAAATTAAAATGCATTATTTACAAAGTTGTGCGTCATGTTTCTCCAACACCACTTCAACTCTTGCTTGAGTGATTCATAGATCAGTACTCAGAGGCTTAACTCAAAAAATATATATGTTTTTTTTTATTAGTATTGTCCAATACAAGGACGGAACTAAAAAGGTTAAAAAAATGCAACACATATGAAATCTGGGACAAACATCACTCAAGACCACTTTATAAGAAATGAAAGAATTAAGTTTCTCAAGATTTTTGCACAGTGTAAATGAATGGTTATAAATATATCTCAATTTTTTTTCCTTTCAAGCACATGAAAAATAAAAACTCGGTAAAGCTTCTCATGCTTGCTGCAGCTCTCCTCACAATTCAAATATTACAAAAAGTGAACATTCGTCACACAAACAGTTAATAATAAATAACGCTGCTGATTCAGGCTCATGATTTATTGATGATAAAATGCTTTAAAAGCTTTGTGCTGTTTTTGTCTCTGCGTGTGTGTCGGATTGTTTAAACCTAAAATAACTTGTAGATTTGTTTAAAGCACATCAACTTCTGAATAACGAACTAATAATAGTGTGAAGTCTTCATGACATTGCAACAAGTATTTTCAAAGTCCTAATAAATAATAGAACAGAGTTTACAGTTGACACCTCAGAAAAATGTTCTTGTTACATTACAGTTTTTTTGCATGTAAAAAAATAAAAGGTGATTTCAGTGCATTACAATCTGAGTTCCACAAATAGGTTAGAAAACTTTGCAAACGTAAAAAATCCCCTCGTAGGAATAAAAAGGCATTTTTGTGTTGTTTTGTCAAAGGTGTGTTTGTGTGCAGCTGTGGGAGAAGCCGCACGTCGCTGTCAGGTTTTTATTATTTACAGCCACAGATGGTGAGCTGTCTGCTGGTGTTTCGGGAGACKTAACACCGGCGTGTTTCACTTTGCAGCTACAAGTTGTTTTCCTGTTTGACACTCGGAGACGTGTGCGATGTTTTTGAACACAGAGGAGGCGACCCAGACCCAGATTCGAACTGATCTGAATGACTGTTTTTGGTGTTCYGCCCTGACGGATGTGAGCTGTGGTGAAGGGATGGTGCCTGTCGGCGTACCCAAAGCCCAGCTGCCTGCACGCCACCTGGGCGTCTCGGTCGTCCCACTGGTCGTCACAAACCGAGCCCCACCGTCCTGCGTGGAACACCTCCACCCGACCTTCAAAGTCCTCCTCGCCTCCAACCAATCGCAGTGGAGGACCACCACCTGCAGGGGAGAAACCTTCAACATCAGTCAGAGTCCTTATAAAAAAAAGCATGTCCCCTACACATGAATGTTTTGGGAATGACGCTCAGCAACTACCACATCAAATCTTGGCTCATGTAGGGGTCACCTCAAGTGGAATAAACAAGAAAACTGTGTTGGATCTCAGGCCTCGGACGGGCTCTTTAAAGARACAAAACTCTGTTCCACTTAAAACTGAATTTGGGTCATTKTAACCRTCAGAGACGTTCTCTTCAACTTRATCAGATAATAAACAGAATAATCTTCTTTTTATTTGATTTATTTTTCTCTTAACTAAGAGTTATTGCGCATTTTGATAATCATGAAACAATGTTAAGGTCCAGGAGAAAAGAGGACAGATCTTTTCTCCTTCCATGTGATTCAGCTATATTGTGGRATTTTCTGTTGAAACGTCTTACTTAGCTAAACTAATCATTATGGTTAAAGTTTATTATGAAACAGAAATGTTTTTATTTCTCTGAGTAATCATTATAAAATGGTTTTTTGAGTTGAAACCAGGTTTTCTGCTCAATATGACAGTGACTCATTATTTCAGTTTTAAAGAGAACCAGGTCAACACGATATGTGCCGATATCATAGTTCTACATGTCGCAGCAAGTCTTGAACTAACATTATTATCTCTTATCTGCTAACTTGACCCTGAAGGCAGACCCGTTAGATTCAGATGTGGGAGTACATGAGTCACTTTATGCATAAAAAAAATATGATTTTTTTTTTCATCGTTGGTGGTGGAAATGTTCACGTCCAACGGTACAGAAGTCACGCTAACCTTCCGGTGGCGCGCACGCCACCGCCGCCTCGTTTCCGTGGCTACAGTCACCGGTGACAAACGTCCTGCTCCGGCACTTGCTCAGGGTGACCTCGTCTCCACGGCAACCCAGTCGCTCGTAGTGGAAGAGGCCGGAGCCCGAGCCGAACTGGGAGTGCTGCAGCGCGGTACCGATGTCCCTAAAAAACACAACAATAAACAAACAAATCTRCATCTGATCCTACTGCAGTGACTCATGAAAGGGTTTGCAGTAAAACTTGTTTGATTATTATAAACTAAACTGAATAAAATCAAAATACTTTTTTATTGTTATATTGAAGTAAATCAAACATCACATTACTTGAAATATTTTTAAACTTATTTTTTCTTATTTATAAGTCTTTTTTTAATTATTCTAATAAAAACATAATCACCATGTCAAACCACTAGGTGGTAARAATGTTCACATTAATGATATATCAGAATAAAACAATTAGGGTTTCTGCACTGAGTGGGAGGTTCTTGTGTGTGGGCGGAGTTTGGGAAAACCATATATGGTCGAACTGACTTATAGAGGAAGTTAATTTAAATAGAAAGWTATTTACTTACAGGAAGTATTGACCAGTGTCACACAGTGGTGTATAATAGTAATTAGTAAAYTTATTGTGGACATATAATTTATTGACTTCCTGTCTGGAGTTGTGACTATTATWAATATTCAAAATTACCGATCTCTATAGGTGTTTTCTGGTTGTTTTGACAAACTAAATTGTTACACGTTCCCTCAGCAGCCCCGTGTTCATCCAGCCGAATCGTTATGGCTTCCTCAAACCCACAAAAGGAATATACAGTATTTACCTTTGCAAAAAAACTTTTTTTTCTCCCTAATTTCAGCACATAATTAAAGTTAATGATGGCAGTGATGGAAAAAGTGAGACAACATAGAGAAGTTGGTTAAAGTTTCTTCATTGTTGTTGAGAATAGATTCCATTAATACTGAGGATGTGTGAAAAAGGCTTATTGTATCTCAAATTCACACCTATAAATCAAAAACTAAGGTCGAAACCTCCAACTTAGAAAGTAATTTAATTACAAACCAGCTTCTTCAACAAAAACTCAGGCTATGTGTGGATTATAAGTGCAAACGCTGTAGAAAATCTTGGATTATCAGTTTCCTTTACCCCAGGCCCAGCTGCCGGCAGATCACACTGGCATCTCTATCTGTCCAGTGAGAGTTGCACACCGCCCCCCACTGGCCATTCAGGTAAACTTCAACCCGTCCACTGCCAGACAGTGACCCACCAGCCAGACGGACTGCACCTAAAAACCAAAACAATCAGGTATGAGCTCAGCAGTCACAGAACCGTAGACACAAACACAACCCAGGCGTGGACGTGCCTTGGTGGCAGTCGCAGTAAGCCCAGCCAATGGCGCCCGAGTTCTGCCTGAAGAAGCACCACGGATTGGACTCGCGGTCTGGGTTCCTGCAGTAGCTGTGGTCCCCAAGGCCCCGGCCCGGGTACTGCATAACATAGTCTGGAAACTCAGTCCACTTCAGACAGGGGGCGCCGGAGTCGGTCTGGGACACGGTGCCGTTGTAATACCCCAGCTCGGTGAACCCCTCAGAGCAGGACAGAGGCACTGCACAGAGGGGGGAGAAAAGAAGGGATGAGGAAGAGGAGAGAATTAGAYGTCTTGGATGAAATGAGGCTGATTTGTGTGAGAATAAGAGGGACAGTTAGTGAGGAGAAGAAGRGTAAATCCTGTTATCCCCCATGTCTGTATTTCATCTGAACATAAAAAGCCAACATGACCGATTATCTGCTCTGTCCAGGACCCGGCCCGATGTATTCACCCTGACTGATCCACACTGAGAAGGACATCAAACCGGACCTAATGTAACACGGGGGTGACCAGCTGAGTAATCTTCTCTGAGAGGGAAGAATGGAGTGAAGCTCAGACAGGCTGAGAAACTGCTGACATCAAAGAGGAGGGAATTAGGCCACAAAATGTAGAGCATTTTATGTTCTGGAGCTTATTAAATACCTACAAGATGCTTTCATGAAAAAGGGACCAAACAAGCCGAGCAGAAAAGGTTAAAAAAAAAAACTAGCTGAACTTCAAACGATGTGTTGTTCACAGGACCTCGAATAAGAGAAGTCAAGACTTCCTTTAAAAGTTTTATGTTTTAAGTAAGTAAGTCAATTTTATTTGTATAGCAAATTTCACAGATAAAAAATCACAAAGTGCTTCACAAGGAGCAGAGATAAAACAAATACAACAWACAATAAATAGACGAAAATAGAATAGAAACAGCCTTTATTGTCCCGCGGAGGGGAAATTCAGGTGTAACAGCATCAGCATCATAAAGCATAAAAAGCATACAATAAAACAAGCTAATATGACTGCAAAAACATTAATACCTTTAGCTTAAAGCTTAAGCTGCTTCTTAAAGAAGTCAACAGAGTCAGCCTCAGGGAGACACAGAGACTGGGCGTTCCACAATCCAGGAGCTCTAGCTTTAAAGGACAGGTTCCCTCACATTTTAAATCTRGTTTTAGGAACCTTTAAAGGATTTTAGCTTGCAGACCAAAGATCAACATTTCTGTAATWTACTGTCCATTAAGAGCTCTAAAAGTCAAGACTGAAATTTTCGAYGACGCCGGTGGACGTCCAAATTCTTGAAGCGAGCTCCATTGGTTTCACAGTGYGCCAGTTTAGCTGTGTTTAACTTAAAAAAATTGGGAAAACTGCATGAAATTCCACCGGAAGAACTAAAAACATTGCACTAACAGTGACTCAGGATACAGCCATCATCCTCAGGAGTATTTTTGTCACTTTTCCTAAGCTAAGGTGCAGACTAACAGCTGGATTTGACCGCAAAAAAGTGCAACCATGGACTTAATGTCTGCTAGTTGAAGCACTTTGCAGCATGGGACACTTCCAGCAGGAAAGTCAGGGTTGTTTTGCAGAAACAACTATGCCACGCAGACAATAATGTCTAAGTTTTTTTGCATTTAAAGATGTATTTTATCTTTTTCTTTTTCCTTTTCCAGTCTTTTACTTGCACCTTATTCTCTACCAGACCAGCTTCATTAATCTAAAAACCGTATGGAAGTCTAACTTGTCCTGGGGTGTGTTTTACTTAAAGAACTTTGGTAGTTCTTCCACCTTGAAGCTTTTTTTTTCACACTAAAACTATGATTAATGGTGGAGGTGTTGCAGCACCAAAGGAACAGTCTTATCTCTAAAACACACACGGCTCGGCTATCCAMTAGCGTTATCTCCTCCCTGCAAGACTTAAATGCCCAGCGAACACACTGCAACACACACGAGCACACAGGCTCAGTTACTCTTTGGATGAAGATTAAAGGGGAAGARGTAAAAGCACGAGTAAGGATTGAAGCTATGAAGTAAATTTAAAGTACTTGGTACAAGCAAATGAAAAGAAAAAACCCTGAGTCATACAAACTCCTGAGAAACCACGAGGAGTTGAGTGTGTCTCTTTAAGAGGCGTGAGGAAGAAAACTGAAAGTATTCAGGCTTCCTGTGTGGGAAAACACCCAGTTGCTCCAATCCAGGCCCACAGAACACGTAAGTAGATCTTTTCTGAGTCCAGAAGTTTTGGGATTTGAGGACCTGCAGTTAAATCCCTGCTGTCTCTTATGAGAAATACAAACTAACAGCCTTATAGACWGAATAATAAGTGAGCTTCATCCTCTGCAGGCTCAGTTGTGTAAACAAAGAAATGCTCATGAAGGTGCTTTTGTCACTGCTGATTTAGGAGTTAATGTTAAACTTCAACCGTTTTATGAGGTCTTTCTTTTAAWGTTTATCTTTTAAAGCTTTGAATCTCAATAAAATCAAATGGTTCTTTAATGTTAAACAGACTCCACATGATTCTGTACCTKGAACACAACCAGCCTTTTAGAACCAGATCTGGATATTACGTTACTTTTATTATTAAAACTTTAATATTGCACCTTTGCTAAAATATTTTCCTGGTACAGGATTTTGACAAATGCGGGACAATATTACATCTTGCATGATTTCAAACAGTCAATGCATTTTATATCTAAATGTTGATGCAAAAGAATTCTGTGAAAGTGTTTGAGTGATATGAATTTGACTTTTGAGCTGTTAAAAYGCTCAAACAATAAGTTTAATCAAAATACATGTAAACAAAAAGGTTTTGTACAAGTTTACTCATCTACTCTGAAAAAAAAAAGTATTTTAGCACTAAAAGATCTGCTTATTGCCATTTATTCCCCCCCAAAAAACTGACTTTTAACTAATTGAATGTTTTCTGTGTTTGAAGAAATGGCATCCAGCAGCAGTTTGTCTGAGGACCAGTTTCTTTGTCCCATCTGTCTCGATGTCTTCATCAGACCTGTGTCCACGCCGTGCGGACACAACTTCTGCATGTCCTGCATCCAGTCCTACTGGGACGACAYGCCGCACTGGGAGTGTCCAATGTGTAAGGAATATTTTACGAACAGGCCCAACCTGAAAGTCAATACTTTCATTTCAGAGCTGGTGTCCCACGTCAGATCGCTCCGTCTGACAGACAGTCCTGTCCAGAGTCCTCGTCCTGACGACGACGTGCGCTGCGACGTCTGTGGCGACTCCCAGACGGCCGCTGTCAAGTCCTGTCTGGAGTGTCTGGCGTCGTACTGCGGCAGACACCTGGAGCCACATTACGCAGCCTCTGGACTGAGGAGGCACACGCTGTTGGAACCTGTGGCGAACTTGGCGAACAAGATCTGCAGGAAGCACCGCCGGCTGCTGACGCTGTTCTGCAGCAGCGACGGCTCGGTGCTCTGCGACTTCTGCGTCGGCGCGGAACACGTGAACCACGACGTGGTCCCCCTGCAGCGGGGGTACGACCAGACGAAGGCCCTGCTCGGGCGGTCGGAGGCCAAGGTGCAGCGGATGATTCAGGAACGGCTGCAGAAGGTCCAGAACGTGAGGGCGTCGGTGACGGAGAGCAAGGCGAAGGCAGAAGAGGTGATTGCCAAGAGCRTGCAGGACTTAACGGAGCTGGGGTTGGAGATTAAGAAGGTCCAGGCGGAGCTCGTCAAGGCGGTGGAGGAGAAGCAGAAAGCAGCGGAGCAACAAGTGGAGGGGTTTATCGGCGATATGGAGAGGGAGCTTTGTGAGTTAAAGGCAACGGCGAGGAACATGGAGATGCTCAGACAAACTAAAGATCAGCTCAGTTTCCTCCAGAGTTACCCAAACCAGTGCTTACTGCCACACACCATGGACCTGTCCACCTTCAGCTTTAACCACCACCTGGAGATCCAGCACATGCAGAAATATTTCAGAAACTCCATCTCACAGCTGCAGGCGTTACTGGTGCAAATAAACGAGGAAATAAATAAATTCTCCAGCGGCGCGAGAGACGCCTCAAACGACGTCACGCTCAGATACATGCAGCAGTACGAGGCGAGCATCCTGCTCGACCCCGACTCCGCTCACCCACTGCTCAGTCTGTCTGCCGACGGGAAACAGGTGAGGTACAACACGGGTACGGGTCTGTGGGGAAACCAGGTCCCGACTCACAACATGTTCACCTCGCACCTCGCAGTTCTGGGACGGATGGGCTTCTCGGCTCGGAAGTTTTACTTTGAGGTTTACGTGGGTCAGAAGACGGAGTGGATTCTGGGCGTGGCCACGGCGTCCATCCAGAGGGTCGGAGAGATCGTCCGGAACCCTGACCGCGGACTCTGGGCCGTCTGGTTTCTGGTAGATCGGTTTGAAACCTTCGATTCTCCCGGTGTGACGGTGCACGTTGGGAAAGTGGAGAGGGTCGGGGTGTTTGTCGATTACGACGGAGGTGAAATATCGTTCTTCGACGTCGTCAGAGCAACACCTATTCACTCGTTTACTGAATGTTTCTTCACCGAGGAGCTCTATCCGTACTTCAACCCCTGTGACAATGAGTACGGGTCGAACCTGGACCCGATGGTGATTGTTCCTGTTTGTACAGAGTGAGCATAAAGTGATATATTCAGCGAACACATTTTCGTCATTTAGCTCATTACATCTCAACCCCCTTCAGGTGTTCACCTGTATCWTRACCCTCAAACATCCTTCATTTTCATAAAGAATCTTGAGTACCCATACGCGAGGATGGTCTGCAGGGAAAGATGGAACGTGGGGCAGAGATAAAAGCGCCTGCAGAGCAGAGGAGCAGGGAAAGGAGGACGAGGAGAGGTGAATTTGTTTCTAGTAGCAGAGCGGGTTGGGAAATGGCTATTTAATTTTATTTATTTGTGTATTTATTTATTTATTTATTTGTGGCTATTTAATTTTATTTATTTGTGTATTTACTTATTTATTTTTACGTTTAAATCAGTGTAATTTACAGACAACCCAAACAATTTCACGTGTCTCCCTTTCTGAGCATAAAATCTTGTGCAAATATTTCTACTAACATTTAGTTGTTATTTAGCTCACTGTTCGTACGTTTTTTAATTTTTACTAAATATGAAATTTAAATGTTTTACATTAAATTCTAATCCTAAATATACCAATTAAATCTTTAATGTTGCAGCTAAATGATAAAGTTTACATGTAGGTATTTCAGAATTGAGCACAGGCTCTGCCACTGGTGCTCGGTTTTTGTTGTGATGTCATCATTCTGCAACAAAAGCTAACGATGCTAATGATGGCATTCAAAGTTTAAATTCTGATGTGTTCATTGAAAACAACATGGATGGTACCTGTGGTCCGGCAGTTCGAGGTGCAGCTCGGGGCAGCGGCTTTTGATTAATAAAATATGGATTTACAATGTGTACATATTTATTACCTCCGCCAAGGACGAGGTAATGTTTTCAGTCGCATATGTCTGTCTGTCGTTCTGCCTGTGGACAACATTATTCAAGAACTTGTGGACGGATTTGTCATGACATTTTTATCACATGTGGGTACTGGGCCAAGGAACACACCTTTAAATTTTGGTGATGTTCCGGATCACGGTGCAGATAAAGGATTTTTTTCTTTTAACACTCTGAGATCGGCAAAGCTGTGATGCTTTCACAGGGCTTCTGTAAAAAAACAGTGAGCTGGATTGGACAGCACGGACTTCAAACTTTATAAAAGTAATGTTAAAACCACATTTAATGATGAAGAATTTTTGCCATAATATGCACATTTACAGAACGTTTTGTGACCAGGAAGTGCGTGACTGCACCATGAAACCTATTTTTCCCATTTCCATAAACACACCACATTTCMGAAACAACCAATCAAAACAGTTTCTCGCTTCTAGGCTTGTAAACAGAGAGCTGCTGGGCCTCAAAGTTTGGAGACGGGGGGAGCCAGGAAGCACTTTATAAAGAGAGTAAAACCATTACAAACTCATACAAGGGGACAAAACAGACGTTTTACATGGTGAAATGTGACTGATGAAAACTTAGGAGCTTAATCCGACACCAGTTTGACGATGAATAACGTCGGGTGACGAGTCTGACTTTTTTTTTCCACATTGGACTCCACTGGGAAGAAATCCCGTGCATACTGCCTGCTTAAATGTTCACTACGTCAGAACTTATTCGGCAAATGTGTTTCCATCTCTGCTTTTGTGCATTAACTCTATTACGGGATGGGGGAAATTGGTCTTGGCGGAGGTTTGCACTCTCCGAGTGCTTCTAGTTTATAATAACTTGCTGACAATTTTCTAGATGATCATGTTATAATTCATCTTCGTTTTGTTTTTTCCCTAGAATAAAAATCCACATCTGTTGCAAACGTTGTCATTTTTATGAAACAAAAGAACAGTGAGCTAAATAACAATAAAATGTTGCCAACAAGGATTTTACACCCAGAACGTGAGCTAAATACTGAAAATGTGTTACTGACATTTTTTAACCTTTTATGTTACACTTGGTGCTTCATATAAAGCAAGCTGCAGATTTGGAGCTGACCAAGTTTTGGGTGAATTCACATTTTTTTAAGCATTAAAATATTTATCACAACATTTTTCATTATGACATATAGTATAAAGTCATTTTGAGGCAAATCGATTTAAGTTTGCATTAATATTAAACATACTCTGTATATCCTGTWTTATTCATATTCATGTTTTTTTCTGTTCAACTATGAAATATGGTGTTGTGCAGGTGTTATATTAAGCCTGACAAAATTGTAATAAAGTATAAAAATACGCAGTGTATTTCATCCTTCCTCCTCCTGTTTGTCTTGATATTCCTCTGCGTTTCACACGTTCTGGATTTCACTTCCTCGTCTTTTTGCCTCATTCAGACTCTTGAATTCGTCTCGACGCCCTCGGCGCTCACACCCTCCTCGGTGCCACGACAGCCATACTCTGCCCATCGCCATGGGAACGCTCAGCCTCCCTGGTCCTATAATCCATTTTCCTGCCACAATGAGTGCTTGACACGGTTCACAGTCGCAGGCTTGTGTGCTGTCTGTGTGGCGACGCACGCTTCTTCACAAAATAAACATATTAAATTGCTTGAATGTGATTTTGACAAAAAAAATGTGTTTGAACCTATTCAGGTGTTTCTTTTTTGCTATATGTCTTCATTTCACTCATTTGTCAATGTGTGTGAAGCTGTAAAATCACATATTTCAGCCTGAGGAGGAGGAGCTCCACTCCCCACCCCCATCACCTTCATCATCGTCATCATCATCATTCCTCATGGATGTACAGAAATGAAAATGAGAGGCAGGGAGGAGTATAGGAGCAGGAGGAGGGGCAGCGGGAGACAAGCTTTATGACTGTCTGACACAGAATGTGGGGAAATATGGAGGGAAAACAGAAACCATGGAGTGAAGGAAGAAAGAGAAATGAACCTACCTGAGTTCTGCACCTCGTTCAAGTAACTGTCCTGAGCCACAACCTGCAGGCAGACAAAACACACGAGTTAAACTATATTTTAACAATTTCATTTTTAGTGTTTTGTTTATTTGGAGCAAAACACTTCAATACAAATTTCCTGTGCCAATTTTCTTGCCACATTCTCCATAACGAATATGCAGAGTTGTAAAGTAACGAAGTACAAACACTTTGTTACTGTAGAAGTTCTGGTTATCTGTACTTTACTTGAGTAATTATTTTTCAGCGTACTTTTTACTTTTACTGATTACATTTTTTACACAAATAAATATACTTTCTACTCACTACATTTTTTAAAAAGGTAAGAAGTAGAAAGTCGTTACTCCTCTTTTATTCCGAGTAGTTATTACTTAAAAAAAACTATCCTGATAAATTGTGTCTCCTGGACAGAGTGAATTTAATTGTGGTTGGATGAGAAGTATAAATACCATTCTGACACCCTGTTACCTTATACACAACCCATCACAGCTGCACGCCGTTGGAAAAAATATTTTTTGAGAAGTTATCTCCCAATAAATGTCATTTTAGAAATTCTAACTGCTCACTTTTACTCAGTACTTTTACTTTTAATACTTAAGTTGATTTTGTGTCAGAAATTTACTTTTGATACTTAAG